TTTTAATTCTTTTTTTCCCTAGATGGGCCCTTTATGTATAAAGCTACTCTTATGAAACTTATTTTGTTTATATTATACAATTATGATAAACTTGACTCTAGAGTACTCTTACTAAGTCCTTTTTTAAAATAAATTTTTAAAAATTGAAATAATTTTAACAGTAGTCAGGAATCATGACTTGATTATAAACCCCTAAATTTCACCTATTCCAGGTACATGGAAAAAAAGAATTAAAAGAATATGAATCTCTCCATGAACTTTTTGAAGTACCCTCGTATCTAGTGTTAAAAGAAAAAAAAAATCCAAACACTCGCTAAAGATGTTAAAAGGCAGACTTTACTCATGGGGGGTCATTGGTGATTGGTATAAGGACCACTGCAAGAAGTCCTGCAGTGAGAGAGATCGAACTCAACTCCGCTCCGACAAGGACAAGTGGGGACTTAAAATAAAAAAGCTGCGTGGGGGTCAGTGGATGGAAAATGACTAAGAGGAAACATCAAGGATAAAGGGGTTTCTAGCTAAAATAACCTGACAGAATTATTGCTGCAGAGTGGTTAGATACAAGGGAGGGAGAGTTTTGCTAAACTGACTTAGCAGGATTCTTGCTCAACCTGGATTCTACTAGGATAGAAAGGGAAGCCCAAAGTCAGACCTAGTCTGGCAGAGGACTCCGAGGAGCATGTCTAAAGTTTGGGTCAAAGGAGGGATTCTTTGTCACTATTTAAGGATCATTCCAATTCAGCAGCTTCAAGTTCTCTCCGTTTAAGAGTAATAAGTGTGCATGACTGTCCTTATTGCCTCTTCTTTTTTGGCTTCATGACTATGATGTGATTAGAAGGGAGGACTATCTCTTAGTAAAATGTGGTTTGCAAACGTTACACACACCTCTATGATCATTAAGATTAGGAGTAGAATTTGTGGAGCTTCACGACAACCTTTGAGGAAAAAAGTCAGAGATTGTTTAAGAAATAGGGGGTGAGGGGGGATTACTCTCTTTTGTCATATCTAGACCAAAATCAGTTTCTAGTTTTAGAAAGTTTACATGGAGTCTGTGAAATGTAGTTTTTCAAAGCTCCTTTCTCTTAATCTTAAAACTATTTCAGTATAAAAACATTTCATAGCATTATAAACTTGGTTTATGGCTAAAATTAAGTCCAAGCCACTTCAAAAGTAAACTTTCTAGGTCAAAGTTTAAACTTAAAATCTGTAGTATTACTAAAGAAATAGTTTAATACATAAACAACCATAACTGATTCAAAATGGTAAGAATCTGACAGATCTTTTAGAGTGAGACAGAGAAGCTGGGTGCTGGGAAAAAAAGGCTAATTGGAGAAATCAAAGAATTTTTAAACTGACCAGAGGTAACCCAAAGAAATGTCCTTACTTTTTGTTCTCCTCTGAAGCAGAACAGTGCCTCTCAAACTTGCCTGTGTAAGTTTATTTTTATTTTATTTTATTTTTAAAGATGACTGGTAAGGGGATCTTAACCTTTGTCTTGGTGTTGTCAGCACCACGCTCAGCCAGTGAGCAAACCGGCCATCCCTATATGGGATCCGAACCTGTGGCCTTGGTGTTATCAGCACCGCACTCTCCTGAGTGAGCCACAGGCCAGCCCTTGCCTGTGTAGGTTTAACACACATTCTGGGTTAGCCAGTCTGGGGTAGGACTGCGAGTTTGGATTTCTAACCAGCTCCCAGGAGATGGCGATGCTGCTGGTCTGCAAGGCACACTGAGTGGCAAGGAAAGTAGACAAAAGAAGCAGCAGATCTGAAAATGGTCTGTGCACAGGCAAGGGGTAAGAAGGGTAAGAATGTAATGTAATGCTCTTCTGTCAGCTAAATGTGGCTAAAGCTTTAGCTAAGAGGAATTAGAAAATTTCTATTTAAGATGTGAAAGAGCATCATCAAGCTTAACACAAGCAGTGTAAGGATTATAGAATATTAGAGCTGCAAGAGATAACATCATTTAATTCAAACCCGACATTTTACAGGCAAGGCCTATAGAGGTGACATGGCTTGCCCAAGGTCACTAAATTAATAAATAGTACATTCTGGACTTAGATCATAAAATACAGAGCCAGAAAAAAATAATTACAGAGATGGAAACAGACTTGTCTAATAATAGTTAACCTGGGTAAACTCATTAAGGACAGAGCTTTTTGTATCTCCAATGTCTAATACAGTATTTGGCATATATTGCATGCTTGATGAATTCTTTAACTGAAGTTAATGGTTAAGAAATAAGATACCCACTTCTACTTGTCATTAAATCTTGCTCTGAATTTCATTTATCTTTGTGAGTAAAAAGTAATTGATAACCATTAAGTCTATTGCTTGAATAGTTCTATTTTTATAAAAAGTGATATAATTGAATAGCTGACATTATACATTTTGTCTCAGTTAACCACACCTATGGGAAGTTTAGCTATTCAGATTAAAAGCCTGCACATAGCCCATTGCCACAAAACACTTGTTAGCAGATTAGTTAAATTTCAGGCAAGTGACAGATTAAAATATAGTTCTATGAGAAGTATTTTGCAAATCCAAACACAGAAAGACAGCAAATGTTACACTTTTCTTTTGGTTTTATGTTCATTAAAATAAAATCCTCACTGAAGATCAGTTAATATGCAAAACTGCTAAGAATATATATTAACTTTCAGTTGTCAGGAGATTTTTGGCAAATAAATGTTCAAATTAATTAAACTTCATTCTTTGATGACTGCTTATGTTGTTTTATTATGTATCATTCTAATAGGCTACAATTGCAAAAATTTCAATTCTAAACTATTTTTTCATACATGAAAAATTTCCTAGGAAATAGAAAACTTTTTGCAACCTTTTGCTAGTCATTTTTATAGTTTGATATTATGATGTATGTTTGCAATGGATCAAAAATTAATAGGAAAGTGCTCCAGAATGATTTTATACATTTTTATATCTGAAAAATGAAGTCTGGATAAAATTGGCACATAGTAATATGCAATTTAACTCTGAAGTTGAACTGCTGGTAAGGGGGTCTGAACCTTTGACCTTGGTGTTACTGGCACCATGCTCTCCCAAGTGAGCTAACCAGCCAGCCAGAACTGTATTGTTTTCAAGCCATTTAAAAACTTAGTAAATATCTGTGGATTACTCATCAGGAAAATGTAAGTCAAACTCACAATGAGATGCTATTCACACGCACTAGATGGCTATAATGAAAAAGACGAACAATAACAAATATTGGCAAAGATGGAGAAAATTGGAACCCTGATTAACTGCTGTTGGGGGTGTAAAATGGTGCAGTCACTTTGGAAAATTTGTCAGTTCCTAAAAAAGTTGAGCGTAGAGTTACCATATGACTCTGCAATTCTACTCCTAGGAATATGCCTAAGAGAATGTTTACATAAAATCTTGTACACAAATGTTCATAGCAGCACTATTTAAAATAGCCCAAAGGTGGAATTCTTAAATTTTATTTTATTTTTCAAAAAGTGGAATTAACTCAAATGTCCATCAACTGATGAATGAATAAACAAAATGTGGTAGATCCATACAATCGAATCATTTTGCCGTAAGACAGAATGAAGTACTGATGCGAGCTGCAGCGTGGATAAACTTTGAAGAAAACTGTACTAAGAGAAAGAAGCCAGACACAAAAGATCACGTATTGTATGTTCCGCTTTATACGAAATGCTCGGAATAGGCAAATACACAGAGACAAAAAGTAGATTAGTGATTGCCAGGGGATAGAGGAGGTGGCAAAGAGGAGTGACTGCAAGTGGGTATGGAGTTTCTTTTTTGAGTGAGGAAATGTTTTTGGAATTAGCCAGTGGTGATAGATGCATAACTCTGTGAATATAACCCAAACCACTGAACTGTATACTTTAAAAGGGTGAATTTTTTTTTTCTTTTTGTCTTTTTTCATGTCTGGCAACGGACCGCAACCCTCAGTGTCGCCCCCGTACCGGACCGGGACCGGCAACGGGATTGCAACCCTCGGTGCTGCGCCCGCCCCTCGCTCAGCCAGTGAGCGGGAACCGGTCTGTATGTGGGATCCGAACCCTCGGCAGGAGCGCCACTGCGCTCCCAAGTGGCACACTGTAGCAGTGCGCCACCGGGCCGGCCCTAAAAGGGTGAATTTTATGGCATGTGAACTATATATCAATAAAGCTATTATTAAAATCTATGGAGAGTTATGCTTTTCAAAAACTTAAAAACAGGGCATTTGTGACACTAATATTAATAATTCTCACAATATAAATTCTTGTTTGATTTTCTGATACTGTTGATCAAATGGTGGTTTTTGATGGGTCATTATATCTATATATCTATATATATGGAAAAGTGAATGCTACCTATGTCATTATCTGTAGAGTTAAGATGATCTCCTGGTCTCCTAGGCTAGTGCGTATCTGGGAAGAAAGAGTAAGCTTAACCAAGCTAAAAGAAAAGGTCACCATGGTAGATGGAAGAGTTGTTTTGAAGATAGAAAACGAGGAATGGAAGGTAAGCTTTATAGAAGTATATTTGATTTTCAATATTTCACATTTTGTGGGACAGTTCAAAGAACAATTTTGAGAGTATGTAATTAAGATTGGAATAGTTATAATTCTAATATTAGTAATATACCAAATGAATTTGGGCAACACAAACAACTGAAAAGAAACATACTTCACAATTTTTTGTGTGTGAAAATTCACTCAATTTTGTTCAGTTATACCTAAACTTAAGTCATTTGTGATATTTACCTACTGATCCTTCTAATAAGCAATTTCTTTTTCTATAAAAAACATGACCATTTGCCTAATAAAAATCATATAGCTTTTCAAAGGAAATGCTCAGTTAAAACTTCACAAAATGGAACTAGATATTAATTTTTTTGTTAGGTCTAGCACTTAATTCATATTCTCTCTCCCTAACACACACACACACACACACACACACAATTACTTAATTACATTATGCATACTTTAATTTTTATAAGGGCTTCTAACCCTTGGGTCATTGCTTATTTTCATGCATATAGATATATTTAGCTAGGGGGTTAGCTCCTTTATTTTCTCTTTTGGCTATTTTAGTCTGAAAGGGAAAGGGCATAGAGTTCAGAATAGCTGAAACTCTTAAAATCCTTAAATTAAAAAAAAAATCCTCTTTGCTTTGAGTAGCTAGTTGAGAGGGTGTTGAATGTTTCCAATACTAAGAAGTGATTAACGTTTGAGGTCAGGGATATACTAAGTGCCCTGATATGATCATTGCACACAGTATAAATGTACCCAAATATCAAATTGTTCTTCATAAATATATACAATTATCATAGGCCAATTAAGAAAAAATTATTTTTATTGAATCATAATTGATTATACATATTTTGGGGGTTCAACATCGTTGTATGTTGATCAAATCAATATTATTAACATATATATTATTACGAATCATACTTATTCTTTATGCCCCTTGTCCAACTCTTCCTATCCTCCTCTTCCTCCTCCCTCCCACCCCTGATAACCCTAGATTTCTTCTCTTCTTCTGAAAGAGTAACGGTTACTCTGTTGATTTGTTGCCTAGATGATCTGTCCAATGCTGAGAGGTGTGTTCAGGTCCCCCAGTATTATCATAGAGCAGCTGCTTCTTCTGTCACTCTGGGATGGGTTTTGTAGAGAGAGACATCCTCTTCTTTTCTTTGATCTCCACTGGTGACCCTCCTTGTGTCAATGCATTCAAGTGACTTGTGGGCCATCTGCACAGTGGTTGTGGCATATAGCCGCTTTTGTGGCAGCCGTTGTTATTGTGGCAGCTGTCTATTGTGGGCCACCCACATAGAAGTGGTGTTTTTGGCATGCTCCTTGCCTGGTTGAAGGAGGAGGGGTCGGTCCAAGAAAACTAAACTAAAAAAAAAAAAGGAAATAGTAAAATAGTGATTACTAGAGGCAGGGAAAGGGAGAGGGAAGAGGGAAAAGAGAAAGGTTGGTAGAATAGTACAGTTACAGTTAGATAGGAAGGATAAGTTCTGGTGCTAGAGGGTGACGATAGCTAATAATGTGGTATCGTATATTTCATGATAGCCAGAAAAGAGGATTTTAAATGTTATAACCACAAAGAAATGTTAAATGTTTGGGTGATACATATGCTAACTATTCTGATTGGATCATTATACAATATATGCATGTATGGAAATAACAAAGTGTACCCCATAAACATGTACAATGAAAAAATTAAATTAAAAATCCTCTTTAAGAAAACTGATAAAATACTTAAAAACAGAAGTAGAAGGGAAGTTTGAATTATTATTTTTATTAGCATATTCATTATTACAAATCATATTCTTTATGCCCCTTATCCAATTTCTCTCCCTTTTCCTCCCCCCTCTAATAACCATTGATTTGTTCTCTCCTTCTGATAGATTAACTGTTCTTCTGTTGATTTGTTGCCTATATGATCTGTCTGGTACTGAGAGAGGTGTGTTCAGGTCCCCACTATTATCATAGAGCAGATGCTTTTTCTATCACTCTGGAGTGTGTTTTGTGGAGAGAGAGGAACTCTTTTTTTTTTTTTTTATTTCTGCTGGTGACTGTCCTTGTATCAATGCAGTTGAGTGCCTGGCGTGCCATCTGCATGGTGGCTGTGACTATTGCTACAGCGACTAGATGCTTTTGTGGCAGCCATGGTAATTGTGGTGACTATGGTGGGCTACCGGTATGGAAGTGGTATTTTGGTGTGCTGTTTACCTGGTTGTGGCTGGTTTCAGCTTACCCCAGCTCCTGCCTCAGGAGCCCCGTGGAACCCCAGAGTGGCGGTGGTGTGCCTGGTTGTGGCTGGGTTGGAAGTTTGAGTTACTGATTAAAATGATTTTTTGGATATTCTCATTTTCAATAGCATATGTACTCTAGGAAAGCCTAATATAACAGAATCTTTAGGAACATACTTCTATGTATGTGCGCTACTGACCAAAATGTTATTTTTGTTTATTCTATTACGATTGGGGTTTATGAAGGTTTAGCCAAAAAAAAAAAAAAAAAAAAAAATAAAGGTCTTATCTTAACACTTAGAAGTAGCACAGGGTACTTGGAAAGGTAACCCAATAAGGAAGAAAATATTCCAAAGTGCTTTTACAAATCAAAGAATATCACACTTCAGTATGGCATAATACTAAAATAATTTAAGTAATATATAATGATTCTGTAATTTCTTTTACTTGAATTTAGACCCTTCCTTCTTCTCTACTGAAACTGAATCAGCTACAGGAATGGCAGCTTCATAGAACTGGTTTGTTAAAAATTCCGGAATTCATTGGAAGATTCCAGAACCTCATTGTGTTAGATTTATCTCGAAACACAATTTCAGAGATACCTCGAGGAATTGGTAAGAAAGATTGCTTTTGTTACTGTGCTATTTTATCCAGCTGCAGATATGCATTTTATTGAGATTCCTTTGATACAGGGACTAAAGATCTCATCTTTATATAGCCCTGAGTCTTGAGAATATTATAAACACTTAATCTAAATTGAAGCTTCCAGGAGATCCAAGCCTCTAGATTTACTGAGGTGATTCAAGATGTGAAAAAAGTCTTTTTGGAACTATTATTCTGTAGATTCCTGAAGCAATAATGCTAGCTCAATTATTTCTCTTAGAAGAGAATGGATTGAAAGCAAGAGAGAAAAATAGAAAGATTCCTTAAATGGGGGGGAAAAAAGGAATTCCTAAATAGAAAGTTGCTCAGGATATAACAATAAAAATGGTTTTTGTGAGTGTGTGTGAGTGTGTGTGCATGCCTATAGCACTGATAAACCTGTCCCTTGTTTGAAGAGGCAGGACACAGACTTGGAAAAGGGAATAAGGTAAGAAATATGAATTTGCCAATATAATACTGGCAAGTAATTTATGCTGTAATACGTAATAATATTTTATATTCATCTGCTCTCTTGTGTATTATTTTTTATAGGACTGCTCACTGGACTTCAGGAACTGATTCTTAGCTACAACAAAATCAAGACTGTCCCCAAGGAACTAAGTAATTGTGCCAGTTTGGAGAAACTAGAACTGGCTGTTAATAGAGATATATGTGATCTTCCACAAGAGGTCCGAAAGATAGAAATGCCTATGATTTTATTTTCATCTACTAATAGTTTACTTCTCAATTGCATGATTGTTAAAAATAAAACTAATGAAGAAATGCTATGAATTTTATTTTAGAAAAAATTTTAGTGAAAACCATTTCCTATTATTATAAATATAATGAAGAGAAAGATACTTCGATTGTATTGTCACAATACTGATATATTTGTTGACTAGCCTGTGATCTCCTTGAAGGCCAGAATGAGTTTTATTTATATTCTTAAAATTGAGAGCAGAACCTGGGTTATAGTGATTACCTAATAAATGCTTTTTGAATGAATACATGATTATCATAAAGTATAGACAATGTGGTGATAGAAAATCTCTTTTGTTTACTAGTTGGTTTTTATAGAGTGATCAGTTTTGAGATAGAAGGGAAGTGTAAAACATGAATTCTTCTAGAAAATGTGTTTCTTGCTAGCTTCCTAGGCTCTATCAAGTAAAAGCAAGGCAATGGGATTGGAAAACTTTTGAACTCTGATTTGGTATGATGTCTTGTTATTATCTTGTTATTGGTTAAATTGATCACATAAAAATATAGACATTTATATTACTTCTCAAACACATTAAATGCTCTTAGAATCAGCAAAGAAAATTTCCATGGTGCACTGCCTTTAAAACAATGATTTTACAAGTTAAAAGTTAAGGAAAATAATAAAACAAAATAAAATAGAAAGACTATTCCCTTCTCCTTTATTTTGATGAATATCTCAAACTTTTTTTTCCCAAACATGTCAGCAATAATTATTGCCTTTGCAAGTAAAATATAGTATACAGATATTTTGTAGTTCCATTTAATGAACTGTATGCCCCCATATATGATGAAAATGATGATCACATAGACACAAGAGGGCCAATAAATACTTAATTTCTAATTCTTGTGATTTTTGTTTCTAGGACTGGCTCTGTCACTAAAAAGCAATATGAATTTGTGCTTGAAACTTTCACTATTAACCAGTCTTTACATTTTTTTCACTTAAAAAATAGGCTCTACTGAACAAATATTGAACTGTGATCTTGAGCCCAGAATTGTTTAATTCCAAAAGTGTGACCTCTATGTAGCTGTGTGGCCTTGGACACAGCACTTTACATAACTAGATCTGTTTTCACATATGCAAAATTAGCACTGTTAAATTATAATAGCTCTATTATCTTTTCAATTTCTAAAATTAAAAGGTTCTAGTACTGCTGAGAAACCAGCAATTGAAGACACAGCTCAGAGCCACTAAACTGTACACACTGTATACACACAAATTTGTTAATGTAAAAGCAATCTTTTATACTCTATTCTGAACCATTAGAAAATTTCAAAAGTGTGATGACAGATTTTAAAAAGTGTTTTATTCATGCCGTAAATTCTAAAACCAAAGAAACAGCATCATCTAGTAGACAGAACCCTTCCGCTTTTTTGTACTACCCACAAAACACTGTATTCGTGTATATTTTTTTGTGGTGCAAAAGTTGTAGAATGAATTTGAACATGCCCTGAAACAGAAACAAAACATAGAACCTTCCCAGCTAAATGGAGAATTTTTTTTTTGTAAAAGTTAACTAAATTATCATATCTTGAAACTTTCACTAAGCTGTTATGTGGAAAGGGAATAAATTTTGTGGGATTAGGTCAACAAAAACTTGAGTTCACATCATAGCTCTATCATTTCTAGTTACATGACCCGTCTGAGCCATCTTATCCAAAAATGGAAATAGAAAATGACACTCACCTTGTAAGGTTGATGTCAGAATTACTCACTAACTTAAGGGTACATTGGTGGATGATCATGTACTTACAGTTCCCTCAGACTGGGAGTGGGGAACACAGATAACTAAAGAGATATTTTTAATTGAGTAAACTAGAGCTTTAAGCATCAACATGAACACATTTAAAAACTGATATTGAGAGAAAAAAACAAGTTAAAGATAAGTATGGTATCATAATCTTTAAATTTAAAAAACATAAAAGTATTAAATTTTATGGATACAGTAATTATATTTAGAAATACATAGAAACATATATTATTTATGTATAGTAATAAAAACATAAAAAGCATGCATGGGAATGATAGACATCAAATTCTGGATAGGTGTTACCTCTGAAGAGGAAGAAGGAGCATATAGTGGGTGCGGTTTATCAATACATTTTCTTTCTTAAGCTGAGCACACTGGTGTTTGTTATATTACTCTTAGTAATTTTGATTGCTTATTTAATTTTAAAAATAGAATTACCAAGCATTAAATTCTATGACTGAGATAATGTATGTAATTGTCAGGCACAAAGTTCAATAAAGATGGCTATTATTTTGAAGTTTGAGTTTTCCCATACAATTTTTTTTTTTTTTTCCTTTTTGTCTTTTTTCGTGTCCGACAACGGATCACAACCCTCAGTGTTGCGCCCGTACCGGACCGGGGCCGGCAACGGGATCGCAACCCTCGGTGTTGCGCCCGCACCTCGCTCAGCCAGTGAACGGGAACCGGTCTGTATGTGGGATCCGAACCCTCGGCAGGAGCGCCGTTGCGCTCCCAAACGGCGCACTGTAGCAGTGCGCCACGGGGCCGGCCCTCCCATACAATTCTAAACTACTGGATGAAAGAAAAACATGATGATAGATGCTTACTCATATGAAAAAAAAGCTTTTGCCCGGCAGGTTCTGTAAACCCTGGAACTTTGGAAGATTTAGCTTGACTTTTAATTTGTTATTTAGCTTGTTTTTTATTTTAAATTTTGTGTTTACTATGGCCAAGTAAAGCCCAAGTGTAATGTGAATACTCCTTGATGTGAAATATCTCGTTTACCAGTGTGGATCTTCTAGTAATTTACATTGTGGACATTTATTTTGAAAAACCTTGCTTTCCTCTTTAGCTCAGCAATCTGTTAAAACTTACTCACCTTGATTTGAGTATGAACAACTTTACTACAATCCCTCCTGCTGTGTTAAACATGCCTGCCCTTGAGTGGCTGGACATGGGAAGCAACAGACTAGAACAACTTCCTGACACTATTGAAAGGTAAAATAAACAACTTTTTATGCTACTGAGAAATGTCTTGAAACCACCTATGTAAAATAATAACAAACTAAACAAGTAATCAATCACAATAGATCTGTTTAGTTTGTTTTAACAGAATATTTTCATTTACTCCAAATAAGTAAAAAGGTTTTGTGAGAGGAAAAACTGGCTATCTGACTTTAAGTAATGAACAAGAATATGCCACAACAATAATAGCATTGCTTACAGCATGCCAGGTATTTCTAGGTATTAACAGAGGAGGAAACTAACGCACAGAGATCTTAGCTAACTTGCCCAATGTCACAGTAAATGGGCAAGCTAGGATTTGAACCTAGATAGCCTGGCGTCACAGTCCATGCTGTTAACCGGCATTCATACGGGCTTGCCCTAAATGGGCATATTAATAATTTCTAGTTTTTCTCTTAGGACTCTAAATCAGATTAGATAACATTTACAGCAGTTTTTCTTTAAGAAACCCTATGAATACAGTGAAAAATTACAGAATATGTTGATTTCATTTCTACCACGTTATATGAGAGCTGTACTGTAGAGATGAACTCTCTGACATAGTTTCCCTAATAATTAGGTAATGTGAAGTCAGTTAATTCAGTATATACTGGTTACAGGAGATGTTGTAAAAGACGACATTTTTTTGATTTTTGGGTTTGCATATTATGTGTGATTAGAAACCTCTTTTAATTCTTCAGAATGCAAAGTCTGCATACATTATGGCTGCAACGGAATGAAATAGTATGCTTGCCAGAAGCAATCAGCAATATGAAAAATCTGGGTACTATTGTTCTCAGCAACAATAAACTGCAAGATATTCCAGTATGCATGGAGAAAATGGTGAATCTGAGGTAAAAAGTTGTAGACACAAAACTGAAATGTTCCTTTGTAGCCACAGAACAAAGTAGAGAGGCTGCTATTAATAAATTTAGGTTCTTATTTACATATATGGATATATTTTTAAAATCCTTGTTAATGTTAAATTTCTATAATTTGATAAATAGGACTACATTAACACTGGTCTAAATTATTCAAGAAAGAAACCTTGAAATGAAAGCAGTACTGGGGTTTATCAATTTTAAGAAATGTCCTAGGGTTGGCTGGTTAGCACAGTTAGAGCATGGTACTGATAGCACCAGAGTCCAGGGTTTAATACCAGTACTAGCCAGCCTTCAAGGAGGAAAAAAATGTCCTATGTTGGTGACATTTTCATGAAAATTATCTTTATACTGCAAACAAATTTCATTTGCAATATAAAAACCAAAAGCATAAAAAATAGTGCTTATTTTTCTACTAAATAACTACAAATAGACACACACAATTATGTAACTGATAGAGAGTAGATATAACTTTTTACTAATTACTATCAGAACTCCCTCAAGTGTTTTTCCTCCAAAATTTAATTTCCTGACAGTAAGAATAAGGCAAGAGAATATACATCAAAACCCAAACTTCCACAACAAAATTATTAATTCATTCGCTTATTCAGTAACTACTAGCCTTAGCGTAGATGGTGAAGTTACAATGATAAATAAGACACAGATCTATAAAAATGTAGAAACTAAGTTTATAGCATTGTATATTTAAGATGCATTAAAACTGCTCTCAGAAGTTAAACAGTATCACATTAAGTATACTCTATGAACTAACAGTTACATTTACAAGCTTTGAAAATAAGCTGTCTAAAGCTAGTATTTTTTTCTTCTAGGAAAGAAACAGGGCTATATCATATCTCACTAAGCTGTTCAGTTACTAAAACCAGTTTAAAAAAGTAATTTAGTATATTACCATTTGATCTTTCTCCAGGGAAATAAATGTATACGTCTATGGCACCTATAAAAATACTATTTTTTGGTGAACTGCTAGGTTTGTCAACTTCAGAGACAACCCACTGAAATTGGAAGTAACACTTCCTCCTAGTGAGAGCATAGATGAAGAGGATCGGGAATTATTTGGCCTTCAGTTTATGCACACATACATACAGGAGTCTCGGAGAAAAGCAGGTAGGAGATTTGTATATAACAGATTAAATATTCTTTTTTGGTAGAAGAATGTGTATATAATTAACTTCTATCTACTATCAATTGCTTTATGGATTTCGCATTCCATCTTGCCTTTTCTGTCAAAATCTGCTCTCTTGACCAATGTGAAGGAAGGAAAAAAAGTGAAATCCAACTCTGTTCATAATTCTGATAAGCACTTGGAGAGGTTGCAAAGATATTCAGTCTTTTTTTTAAAAAAGATGACCGGTAGGGGGATCTCAACCCTTGGCCTGGTGTTGTCAGCACCACACTCAGCCAGTGAGCGAACCGGCCATCCCTATATAGGATCCGGACCCGTGGCCTTGGTGTTATCAGCACCGCACTCTACCGAGTAAGCCACGGGCCGGCCGATATTCAAAGTCTTTTAAGTGGAGTCAGAAAATAATTTCTTTAGCCAAGCATCTGAAACACAACCAAGTGAATGAAGATATTATTAGAGCTTCATACTTCATCCTACCAGCTTGCCATACATGTCAATTTGAGCATGAACTGACCTTCCTTGCCATTTTCTTTTTCTACAACCCACGAATAGCACAAACACATTTAACCGAGAGATAAAAATTAAGAGAACATAGATTTTAACCAACAGTGAACATATGAGGTTTTGATGTGTATAGATTTCAATAAGTCTCTGATAATTTAAAATTAAACTACCTTTTTTTTTTTAATTAAAGAAGGAACACCTTTAAATTAAACCAAGATTAGGGGAAGAGGGCAAATAGCACAATTCTGTTAATAAAAACAATGAAACAATAGTGATAGAAATCACGGTTTTATAATTCACTAAAATGTGAAGAGTTTTAGAATTGAAAGGCAGATTTAGTTCAACTCAACGCAACAAATGGTTACTTTGAAAAATGAGTACAATCTTCAGATCCCCATACTGGCCAACCGCCAAAAAGAAAAAAAAGAAAGAAAGAAAGGAAAATGAATATAATCTAAGCAATGACAGTTTTCAGTTAGAGGAAATAATTTTTACCACCATCCAATGGAGGATGTTTAGGAAATGGTAATTAGATCAACTGTAGCAAGGTCACAGAAGCAATGGCATGGCTGACAGTTTGGGGGAAGGCAAGTAAAAAAGTTATAATAGTTTGGGGCCTAGTTATGGAAGGCAGAGGATAAATATATAAAAGACAAGTAGGAGACATAATTTATAACTGAATAGTGATGAGAAAAGAGAGTTTGGGATGATGCGCAATTTTTGGTTAGTGCAAATAGATGGGATGGTGGTTGCTGATATAGGGAATGAAGTACTGTTGCTGGTTTGGGGGGCATATTGAGGTGTAGAAGGGGAGATGAGTTCCAGTTTTGTTGGCTTTTGGCAGCTGGCAGGTATGGAGATTCAAACCTGTCACAAGGCGGCACTCTAACCAACTGAGTTAACTGGCCAGCCTGAGTTCCAGTTTTAACAGTAAATTTGATGCACCTGTGGGACATGCAAGAAGCAGTAATTGTGTAGTTGAATCTAAAGTTTAGGAAGGGGTTTGCTGAACCTACAAATTCTGCGGATTAAGAAATAGCTATATGCATATCCTACATAATCACTTTCTCATGATATGTAAAGAGAAACAAATAAGATTGGGAAAACAATAATCTTGACCTAAGGCTGGCATGTTGAAGGACAGGCTTTATCTTTCCATAAGGTACTTGGTACCACTGTCAGAAACAGATCATTAAGCTTAAATAGGCTATAGGACTGTGATATTTCTTGGGTATGTATGTATGTTTTATGAAACATTAACTGAGCTTATGCCTGCTGTAAAATATGTTTTATTTCTGGGTATAAATTGGTGAATGATGCAAAACAAATTTTATGATGCAAATTAGCACTGCCTAATACCATAAAAATAAGGTTAATTATCAAATGATGTATTTCCTTCATTTATGTTCTCTTGATTGGGGGGGGGGGCACGAGTAACTACCTTAAAAAATAATCAAACTACCTTACTTCAATAACAGTTGCCATAAAACTTATAACAAGAGAAAAAAAATAACAACTTAAACAATGAGATAAAATCAAAGCCTGCCTTCTGTTATTAAAATAGATTCATGAATTACTATTACTACTACTAGTTGATATTTATTGAATACTTTGTGCTCAAAACTGTTCTAAGCATTTTATTTGTGTTATCTCATTTGATGCTCACAACAACCTTCTGATGTAGGCATTATTATAATCATCCCCATTTTAAGAGGAAGAAGTTGAGGCACAAAGATTAAGTAGCTTGCCCAAGGTCACACAGCTGAGAGGTGGTAGGGTTGGGATTTCAACCTAGGCAGTCTGACAAGACATATGAGATTAAACCAAATTAGAAAGGTCAGGAATTAAAAATGGATTTTTATTTACAATTCATGTAATCATAGACCCACAAGGATAAAAATAGTTATTTCACAATATCATTATAATGTCTAAAATTAACAATTGGATCTTTTCTTGGCAAACATACTTACAAATAAGATAATTTTTACAAATAAAGGCAGAAACAAATCAAGGATAAGATGTGGAAGAGAATAACAGTCCTACCATGTTTGGTTTAATATTTGCTTGTGCATAGAAACCATTCATGAGTTAAATAAGGCTTGCATGTGAGAATGTTTTTGGTTTCATCTGATTTCCACTTTATTCCAAATTATTTTCCCAAACAGGACAGAATGCACTTATTATTTGTACAATATGTGTGTGTGTGTGTGTGTGTGTGTGTGTGTGTGTGTATAATGGCCTGATAAAATGTATGAGATACCTAATTAACTTCAGAAGTTGTTTGCAAATTTCACATTTAATTTGTGAATTATGCTTATAACTATCTTTTTGGATGTTCTAACTAGATAGTTATCCAGCAATGAAAACAATGAAGTGAAATAGTTTTTTTTCCTTTGAAAACATCTCTTCACTTTTGGTGTTTGTCATGGACAAATTCTGATAATATACAGATAATATATAATTTCCACAGGTATGGCTGTGGAAATCTGATGGTGATTTCACTAATTGATTGTGAACACCTCTGAATTTGTTTGCATTTGAGAAAATCACAATTATCCTTTCCAGATCTGCATGGAAAAAAATCCACACATAAGCCAAATTCTCAGATTGGCCCTTGCTACAAACTAACAATTGATCGTTACATCTTGAACTTGAGAAGTAAAAAATACTAAATAAAACCAAAGGAAAATAAATTTCCAAAATTAATGCAAATAGGTTTTTTTTTTTTTTAAAAAGATGACCGGTAAGGGGATCTTAACCCTTGACTTGGTGTTGTCAGCACCATGCTCAGCCAGTGAGCAAACTGGCCATCCCTATATAGGATCCGAACCCGTGGCCTTGGTGTTATCAGCACCACACTCTCCCGAGTGAGCCACAGGCCGGCCCCAAATAGAAAGTTATTATGCTAATCACGTGTTGATGTGTTATGTGTGTTTCAGATCACCAAGTCAACTGTTTGACTACTTTACCAATTCCTACAAATAGTGATGGATAATGTAATTCAAGATGCCCTGCTGAAGAGGATTATTTTGGGAATTTGGTGAATTCTCTAATGTTTGGACTTCTGAAGTAAAAAACAAAGCTTTTACCAAAGTTTAATGAGGCCATAGGATTTTTTAAAGTCCCTATTATCTGCTATTTAAATTATATTTTTGTGTATATAAAAATATAATTAAAAAATTTTTGTTTGGTGGAAGACAGATGATGTTCAAATTTCTTTTCCTTTAAGCACTTGTTTCTGGTGATGAAGAATGATTAGGTAAAGCGGTTAACAATACATTTTCCAAAGACACCAGAGGGTCTATATAATACTGCAAAGCAGGACTGAATCCCTTCTGCTGTAAATACTGAATTCGGCCTTGGTCAATCAGCAATTTACAAAGATGCCCGATTTTCTTCTTTTCTTCAACAGTAAGAAGCCTAAATTGAGTAAACACACGTAGAACATTGTTAAAAAAATATTTTAGTCATTTGTGTTTATTGAGAAACTGCTAAATAACCCACATTATACATAGGTGCTATGTCCCATGCTTTCAAACACATTTTGTTTATGACAATGAAAATGTGTATATTTTAACTTATTCTAAAATGAGATTGTAAAATATATTTTCATGAATAAATTGTTGGTAATAGTTATCTAACAAGAAAGTACAGCAACAATGAAATACTTCTCCTTTAGTGCTGTACATTACAAAAGTAATCACTTACCCAGGCAAACTATCAGTGATGTCATCTGTGATTCTGTATCCTCCATCATCATGCTCTTCATTATCATCATGCTGATTATCTTTTCTCTTTGTGATAATATTTGAGGCTTCCAAAGATGTTTTCCGCATTCCACAAGTTGCCCAACTACTCATTCGCTGGAAATAGTGGAATTCCACTGCTCCGAGGCCTAGAGCCCTGAAATATTCTTTGCCCACATAATGTCTCCAATCACACCTGTGGTGACAACAGAGTGCAATAACAATGCCAGCCACAGGGGTCCACTTCTCTGGTACATTTTTTTCATTTCCTTCCTTGGCCAAAGTGTTAATTTCATTTTCTGTTTTATCATTCTTTATGCGTTTGGCTAAAGGTTCTTCATTCCTTTCCTCACAACTGGCAGCATAGGTTTCAACCAAACATCGTAATGCAAGATCTGCAAACACAATTATGTGGCCCCCCAAACCACATTGTTTTTAAACATAAATATTTTTACATTTATTAAACAGTATGGCTTCCAAAAACCTAACAACAAAAACAACAAAAACCTACTTAGCTTTATACTTGTAATAATTCTATCATGAATTATCAACTTTGTTCAAATTTGCTGTTTTCTTACTATCTCAATTTCTCTAACAATTTATTGTAAAAAAAAAAGCCTACTGAACAATAAAACTGTCTGAAACTTAAGATCTACAATTTGAAAAACTTTTAGTCTACTTAAATTGTCTTTCATTTCTCCTACCCTAGCTGAGGAAATGGCTTGTATAGTAAAAATTTATTCAACTACACTTACATTCCAGGGAAGTTTTGATCTTAAGAAACCCAAAGAAAAAGAAAGGCAACTCTGTTTAGAATGATGCTAGTTAAGATGCTAGTATTGAAATGTATGATGTTCACAGCAAACAGTGACGAACTAAAGAGTTGAGAATAGAGGGTCAGAATATGGAAAGCAGGCCTCACTGATTAGCCTTATTGTATTTACACATTCATTCAGCAAGTATTTACCAAATGCTTTTCATGTGCAAAGCACTGGGTATGCAATGATGATTAATACACACAAACTTAGAGGTGAATGAACTCTATATTAAAATGAAAAAATGTTAGTATATTTAAAAACTAAACAAATGGATTTTTGATGACTGTACCGACCTCCCACTGAAAACTGTTATATTGGTGACAATATTAAGAAGACCCCAAATACTGTTGACAATATTGGAATGACCCCACATATTGGAAAGACCCCAAATGTAAAACCCATATTTTCTGTCTGATTAGATTGTCACGTTGTGTCTGTTCATCAAAACAAATATATATTTTAAAATTTTATTACCCTAAGATGTCACAAGTAAATATGAAGGTACTTCAAAAAGTTCATGGAAAAATATAATTAAAAGATAACAGAAATCTTTCCATGAACTCTTTGAGGTACCCTCATATTAAATGATCTGATATTTCACCAGTAAATTTAATTCAACATATAAATTTTAGCCAATAAACATTGGGAACCTATTATTTGGAGAAAGTGGTAGTTAATAAATTTCATAAACTATCATTTTCTGACAAAGTATATTCAGTCACTGTTTATTCATATTTGAATTAAGTAAATGATTTTCAAAAATGTGAATAACCAGAAAAATTACTGAAAGGATTAAATTATTTCAGAATTAAAGGGAGCTTGGAACGGGTAAAGGAACATGAAAATCAACTGCAATGCATATTGAGAAGTTAAAATAAAATAAAAACTAAAAAAAAAAAAGAATGAAAAGAAGTTTTGGCAATCTATCTTAACCCCTTCTCTATAGAGAACTTAAGGCACAAAGACACAAACCTAGAATGAGACAAGGAAACACAGCAAATTGGTGGCCAACATTATTCATTTACCGAAAGAGTTACTGAATTCCTGTTATATACCAAGCATGGTATTAGGACACACACTATGCTCAAAAAATTCACAGCCTAATGGGAGAATTAGATATATAAACAGATAATTAAAACACACTAAGGTAAAAATATGCAGAAGGTATTAATGATAACACTAAGAGGGCATATCTTATTTAAGAAGGCTCCTTGAGAGTGGTGACAACTGAGTTGAAGGTAAGTAGAAACTGACCAGTTTTTTTGTGTGGGTGAGTGTTTGGGTGGGGGTAGAATTCCAGATCTAGTAGAAACAGTATGGCATAAAGTACACAGGGTTTGATGTTATATGTTACTGAAGAGTAAAGCTGGAGACAGGGAGTGGCAAAGAGAGAAAGGCAGAAGCCAGATTGAGACTAGAATATCATGTTAAAGAACTTGGACTTTATCCTGTAGGTCATGGGGAGCTTCTAAAGAGTTTAAAGAAGGGGAAAGTCACATTAGATGTGTAGCAGATGGGTTTGAATATTAATATTTAAAGAACAGATGTTGGAAGGAGATCACGAAAGAAACAGAGAAAGAATGGCATAGATGTAGCAGAAGAACCAGGAAAGGAGAGTGTCACAAGAGAGAAGGAAACAGAATTTCAAGCAGGGTAAGCAACAACAGAAGAGATGAACGGAGGATTCAGATAGAGTGAATCAAGGAGAAAAAAGTGTGTAGAACATGAGAAATGGTCTTTGTAGGTTATACTTTTGAGAAACTTGGATAAGATGGGAGGAGTCAAAGGAGTATGCTCCCCACCCAGAAGGGAACTGGTTACTTCAGAGGCTTAAATGAGATTATGTGAAAGAAGTAAAAACTATGAAGGACAATACAAATATATAGTACTCAAAAGTACTCAAAGCCATTTCCAGTAAATTTGAATAATATCTTATAGAGGCTCCAACTTCCCCATATAGGTAGATGATAAAACTAGCAGAAGCCAAGAAGAAGATATAACAATACTTGACATTTACTGAGCATTAATATGTGCCAGACGCTTTACATGTAACCTGGTAAATTATATTAGTATTCCTGATTTATATATGACGTAACCAAAATTTGGAAAGGTTAAGAATTTGCCAAGGTTACAGAGTAGAGCTGAAGTCTAGACTACCTGATTCCAAAGTGCATGCTATTTCCACTTTACCATGCTAGATCTGATGAACAGAAGTGCTAAGACGAGACATCTTAGATTTTTTTTCATCTAAAATTTATTTTTTCTTTTCCTCAGAATCATGAAACACAATAATCTTCTGATTGGAAAGGTTTCAGGATTCTTCCCAAACAGCGGTTCTAAAAAAATTCAGTAGTTTCTGGGGTGGAATCATAGTCTCAATAAATGGTTTGTTTCCTTTTTTGGTTGAAATATAACCCCCAAAATTTTAAGGTCTCATATGAGACAGTATTTGCACACAGAACTCTTAATTCATCCTGCAAAATGACCAAAATGAGCAGATAGATAGGAAAGCCCTGTATTTGATATTACAGAAGGCCAGTGCTACTATGAAGATTAATAAGTTGCAATGTAAACAATAAGAAATCTAAACTATTCAAAAGAGACTACTGAAATGGTTGGGGTCAGGTGAAGCTAAAACCTAATGTATAATTTAGACATTACTGGTTTGTTTACATACCTGTTGCCACACCACACAGATGCTTTCCAATTCCTACCACAGGTAGTTTTCTTTCTCTTAGCACAGGAACCTTGTCTGAAATAAAAGGAAATGAAAATTAAGTTCGATCTCTTGTGAGATAAAGTATTCATGTGGCCTTCTAAAAAAGAGAGAACTAATTAGAATCTTTGAATTTTAGGGCTAAAAGAGACTCAAACAGAAAATTCTTACTTTATAGAATTCAACAAATAAGAGCTTGTTGAGAGTTTATGACATCAGAAAAGTAATACATTCAGTTAAATAATTTTAAATACAGTGATTTATATACAAATGCTGGGTTGCTTCTAAAGGCTTAATTAAGGTTGGAGTCTAGTTTATGGTATGAGGACATATCAAAACTTTTGAACTCTTCCCTAATAGCTGTGTAACACTTCATTTCCAGTTGACACTGAAAACAATTTTTTAAAATTTCAACCATAATTCACTTTACATTTATTTAAATGTTACATATAACATTCTATATTACCAGTGGATTAATTATACTTTTATTTTCCCTGAAGCACTGTTCCGCATGACCGGATTTCTAAGCAAACTTCAGAGTTTGAAACTTCTATAATTTAGGCAAAGCAATGAAAAGTTATGCAACTTACTCAAACACAAGTGTTGAATATCAATCTGAAGTCTCTCGAACACTGAATTTTTCTTTCTGTGTTTACCATCTACCTGCACAAACAATATTGATGTAACAATAACTTTTTATGTTAAAAAAGCTTTATAAAAATGGAAAAATTCTATTTGTTTTAAAAATTCAGAGCAAATAAGTTTCCATCTTATTTTTAGTAATGAAAAAAACAGAATGAATAAAAAAATTTAACATTGTATATTCTTTGGGCTGAGCCCGTGGCACACTCGGGAGAGTGCGGTGCTAGTAGCGCAGCATTGCTCCCGCCACGGGTTCGGATCCTATATAGGGATGGCCAGTGCGCTCAGCCAGAGCGCGGTGCGGCCGATCTCACAAAAAGACAAAAAAACCAACCAAACAAAAAAAAAACATTGTATATTCTTTGATGGAAACTCCAAAATAATATCATACATTTTGAAAATTTTATCAGTTGATACGTATACATTATTTCCTTTAACCCTAAAATTCCCACACTGATGAAGAAACTGTGATCCACAGATGTTAAGTGACTTATCTGAGATTATGTGCCAGCTCCTTTGTCTTGTATACTTTGTCTAGGATACTATTTTTGGCTTGCTCCTCTTCTTACACTCCCTGAAAGATCACAACCATTCTAATCTCTATCCATGTTCCTATGTCCTACAGATCTACATTTGTGGCTCAGATCTCTCTGATGAACATCAGACACCATCAGCAAACGCAGCACATCCAGAACTGAACTCATTATTTTTGCCTTCAAACCTACTCTTCTTCTACCTCCTCCTTTATTCCCTTTCTCAGGGAAGAGCACCACTTAGTCATTTAAGCCACAAAAACGTCACCCCAAATTACTCCTTCTCTCTCAGATTCAATGAATAATAAATCTGGAAGTCTTGTGGCTTTCAACATCTTAACATTTCTCCTACTCTTCCCCTCCTCTCCATCCTACTGCAACAGCCTTATTTGTAAAGGACAAAATTATATTTTATTATTAATCTCTCTACTTCAAGTCTCAGACTCTTCTGATATAGCCTTAATGGTGCTGCTAGTATACACTTTTTCAAACCCTTTTTTACTTCACCAACTCTTATATATTCTTTCAATCTCCTTTCAACTGTCCCTTCTTCCATGAAACTTTCCGTATCCCTGAGGTCGGTGGTCTAGCTTCATGCTCCCATAGCATTGCGTTCTTACCATTGTCACAACACACTTAGCACACTGAACCAAAATACATATGTCTGCCCCACTAGATATAAGCTTCTTGAAGGCAAGTACTAAATCTTGTTTCCAGTGTATCCCCAGCACATAGAAGGATAAAGTCAAACTCCTTCCTCGGCATAAAATATGAGACCTTTCGTAGGCTAGCCCTCCTCTACAGTCTCATCATTGCTGCACTCTACTTCACATCATGTTCTCCCATCACACAGAAATGTTTCCATATTTCCCTGTTGTTTCAGGCATTCGGCTACACCATTCTTGCTTCCTAGAATGCTTCTCAAATCCTCTACCTAGCAAACACTGATTCCTCTTTCCAGATTTAGCTCAAGCATTATTTTTTCTGTAGTCATTCGCCATTTCTTCCCTGCAATAAAGTAAAACTTGTCACTCCTTCCTTTGAACCTACACTGTACTCTGTGCAGACTCTTTCATATTCTAACATTGTACTACCATCATCTATTCATTTGCTTGTCTTTCCTTTCTAAACATAAGTAATAGAGTAGAGAGACCTTGTCTTATTTGACTTTATATGCCCAATGTCCATCACGGTGTCTGGCAGCATGCTCAATAAATGTCTACTGAATGAGTCAGTAGGACCCAAGACTTTTAACTCCTAGCTTGAGCTTGGCTCTTTCCATATATTTTTCTGTCTCTGCAAATAATTTTAAGAACTCAGATCAGTGGACTATTGAAATTTTGATTAAAAATTAATCACCCGCAGTTTAAGTCATCAATATAATTATAACTGATAAAAGCTATAATCAAATACACCAAAAAGGAAACTCATTTTCTTTAGGAGACATGTTTCTGACATGCATTTCTAAATAAGAAAAATGCAAAGTTTGGTTGCTAATAGATTGCAAGAATTTCTCTTACCTTGAATCTTGTGGTCACCTTTTCTACTAGGATAAAGTGAACTTTTTCCGCATCTTTTAAGGCAATATCAACCCAGTGAGATAATTTTCCCTTTCCTGCTCCAAACTCAACAAAGCATCTTCTTGGACCGAGTAACTTTAACTTTTCAATGGTACCTAAAATAGAAGCCTGCAAACTTCACGAGATTATTTTATAAACTACAACAAACACATTTGGCCTAAATGGGAAAACAGCAAGGTAATTTCTACCTAAGGCAGTATGTTCACATTGATAATTTCTATTTGGCTTTCATTTTTTATCTTGCTTTTAAATATTTAATATTCAGTACTCAGAACCAAATCCGTGCCAGAATTTTTCTTATATATGCTTATACATTTTTTTGAAAAGAAGATATTTTGTACCCTGAAAGTGAAACTAAATAAAATCTCATTAATAACTATATTTAGAAAGAATAAAAAGGTTATCTTTTAACAAATAAACAAAGGCCAGTTTTAGTATTACTATGGCCTCAACCTACCTGCTGTTTCAGGTGCTTAGCTGCAGAATCACCATTTTTAGGGTCATTAAGGGCATCGTGTAATGCTGGATGGGACATAATATGATCTTTAAGCGTAGAATTCAAACCTGTGCCAAATATAAGCACAATGGCTTAAGGAACCAAACATGAAACTGTAGGACTTCAAACAATGGCACCAACTCATATACCGCCTAGTTACAGGAGTCACTCTTTAACTGCAATTGCACTTTCTGCAGTTTCAGTTATCTGTGGTAAACTGTGGTCTGAAAAAATTAAATTGAAAATTCCAGAAATAAAAAATTCAAAAGTTTTAAATCGCACACCATTCTGAATTGCAGAGTGAAATCTCCTTGGACATGAATCACTCCTTCATCCAGTGTATCCACGTTTATACGTTACCCACCCATTAGACATTTAGTAGCCATCTAGGTTATCAGATCGAAAAAACATAGTATATACCGTACTCTAAAATAATTTAATCCCTGTACTGGCCAACCACCAAAAAAATAAAAAAGATAAAATAATTTAACTTGTAACTTTAGGCAGACATACCTTCACTTGCTTTTCTCAATTTCTTAATTAAATTTTCCATCTGCTCTTCAGATAGAGAAGAAATTGGAACCTAGATACAAAAATAAAACTAAATAATATAGCCAAAAAATGCTTTTAAGTAGCATGACAGAGACTAAGTAGAAGTGTAGAAGTTGGGCGATTCTGATGGCAACTTAGGCTCTTCTTTCCGATAAAGCCTTTTCCCTAAGCTGCCATCAGAATTGCCCAGCTGTTAAGCCACTACTCAGTCTCTGCTGTACTACTTTAATTCCCCTAACCTGTTCAGGGTCAAGAATACATCCAGGCTCAAACGGATTCAAAAATCAAAGGGGCCTCAGGGCCCATTCTAGCTTGTTTTGTTATAGATCGTGAGTTGGTGTGGTCTAACCATCACTAATAATGATTCTATAGGAAAATGCATCTAAACAACAAATTTATTCCAAACAAATATTGGAACACGGCTTATTCAAAACATAGAGATAACTTATAAATGCCTTTTAAAATTAAATATAAAGTCAATGTACTTACTAATTGTTCAGGTATTTCTGTTTCATCTTTTAAGCCTGCATTAATATCTTGAATAAAGAAATCCTTAACAAAAACAAAACAAAACAATAACAATACTGTTAATAAGGTGAAGCTCACAAAAATTAAGTTGAAAAACTGACTCTTCCCTTCATCCCATTCTCCCTTCTTCCCATTAGTTTATTTGTTTAGTAATGACTGAGTACCTACTATGGTCCCTGATTTGCTTTAGGTGCTAGGGATTTACCACAGTTGATAACAGAAGAGATAAAAGTCTGTACATTTGTGGATCTCATATTCTGGTGAGGTGGTTATTTGAATAAGCATTTATAGTCTAAAGAAATTCATCAGTAATTTTTATTAAAGTTTTTACCTGTTTGCAGCATAGACTGAAGACTGTGCCAATTTTGCTTTACAGTGTTAAAGCAAAAACAAAGTACCAACTTACACAATGCTGTTTATTAGACATGCAGCATGACCAAAGACAGATAAAACATAGATATTACAATGGTAAAAGCCTGATTTCTTTATTTTAAAATACTAACTAAAAATTGAAAATAGCAATGCCCTGTGACACTATATTATTGAAATTAATATAATGAGATCTTTCTAGTCTATCTTCAGAGACATAAGTTCTAGGTAAGGATTTATATCAGCACTGTCCAGTAGAAATATCTGAAATAATGGAAATGTTCTATATCTGCCCTGGCCAACATGGTAGTCACTAGCCTTGAAATATGGATTTTCAATTTTATTTAATATTAATTAATTGAAATTTAAATAGTCATATGTGGCTAGTGGCTGCCATACTGGCCAGTGTAGACCTAGATGAATGAAATAGTACTATTTCTATAAATCCTGTTTTAAAAGCGAAAACAACTCCTGAGGACATTATGTTAAGCATAGTTATGGACTTTTACACAGATGGCAAAAAAGTAAAATCCTGATTGTGTGTTTAGCTATTCCCATATGGATAGCAATGGAAACCAGTGACTGAATGGAATGGGTGAAGACTGTAGGTATTATAATGTTTTGTTAGACGACTGACAAAACTATAATAGAAAATTAGGGGCCGGCCCTGTGGCTCACTCAGGAGTGCGGCGCTAGTAGCACCGAGGCTGCGGGTTCGGACTCTATATAGGGATGGCCGGTGTGCTCACTGGCTGAGTGTGGTGCAGACGACACTTAGCCAAGGGATGTGATCCCCTTACCGGTTTAAAAAAAAAAAAAAAAAAGAAAATTAGCTATAGCTATCAGAATTTTATGTACTCAGTTTAAAATAGTTGCACAGTGCTTCGGGTAACTTGTGTTGTGGATTAGATCTTTTTTTTTTTGTCTTTTTTCGTGTCCGGCAACGGATCGCAACCCTCAGTGTTGCACCCGTACTGGACCGGGACCGGCAACGGGATTGCAACCCTCGGTGCT